GTACACATTTTCCCCCACATTTGGCCTTTTTTTAAAAAACGATATTAGAAGTTTCTGGGGGGAAAAAAGATAGCAGAGCTTTCTTTGGGGAATACCCATGAGTCTATCTGTCAAGCCCTGTACCTTTGAAGAGATGGCTTTTTAAAAATTCAAGTATATGGGGCGCCTGGGTGGCTCAGTTGGTTAAGCGTCCGACTTCGGCTCAGGTCATGATCTCACGGTTCATGGGTTCGAGCTCCGCGTCGGGCTCAGAGCCTGGAGCCTGTTTCAGATTCTGTGTCTCCCTCTCTCTCTGACCCTCCCCTGCTCACGCTGTCTCTCTCTCTCTCTCGGAAATAAATAAATAAAAACATTTAAAACATTTTAAAAAATAAATTAAAAAAATAAAAATTCAAGTATAAGGGCACCTGGCTGGCTCAGTTGTAGGTCATGGGACTCTTGAACTCAGGGTTGTAAGTTCAAGCCCCACACTGGGTCTAAAGATTCTTTAAAAGTAAAATCCTAAAAAAAAAAAAATTCAAGTATAATTAACATACAGTGTTATATTAGTTTCAGGTATATAATACAATGATTCAACAATTCTATACATTACTCAGTGCCATCACAATGAATATGCTTTTTTAAAAACTCATTCCTTCATTGTCCTCTCCTCAGCACCAAAATCCCACTGTCTGCCACAATGAGTGTACTCTTAATAACCTTCACCTATTTCGTGATGGGGCGTTTTGTAAGTTTCACCAGTAAACATATTTGTAATTATGGAAAAATATACATAATACTTATTATATTAACCAGCCACAACATACAGTTTAGTGGCATCATATACATTCACAACGGTGTGTACCTACCACCAGTGTCTATAAGCAAATCATTTTCTAAATATACATTATTTTTATATTTTATATAACTATTAACACTATACAAATTATATATTAATATTTAAGTATATTATCTTATAATTGTGTTGTAGTATAATATATAAATATTATATTGATATTTATATACTATAAATTAGCATACATTAATATAAATGTATAAATACTTTATATAAATATATATATTATTTTAGAGAGAACACAAACAGGGGAAGGGGAGAGAGCGAGAGAGCATGGGGCTCCATTCCATGACCCTGGGATCATGACCTGAGCTGAAATCAAGAGTCAGTCCCTCAACCGACTGGGCCACCCAGGCTCCCCCAAGCTTGTCACTTTCATGACTCCAAACTCTGTACCCATGAATCACTCACTCCCCCTCCCCCGAGCCCCTCCTCCCCGGAGCTCCGGTCTACTTTCTGTCTCTGTGAATTGGCCAAGTCTAGGTACCTCATCTAAAAGTGGAATCATACACTGTTTTTTTTCCTGTGTCTGGCTTATTTCATTATTCCATACACTTTTTCTTTTTTTCACATACACTTGTTAAAGAAAACATCTACCAACTGCATACATAAAGTTGTGAAAGTCAAAAATGTCCTTCATATCTTTAGAAACAGAGAACAGAACTTGTGAAATATGTGGACATGCCTGGGACAAGGTAGCACCAGTTTCTGGTGCTTCCTGGAAACTCCCTTGTAACTTTTAAAACGTTAACAAGTGCCTAGCTTGCCAATGCCCTCTTATCTCAGAAAATGAACTCAAATAGCCATTACTTCCCACAAGCTTTGACTCAATATGACAGAGTTCTTGGGGCGTCTGGGTGGCTGAGTCAGTTAAGCGTTTGACTTTTGATTTTGGTTCAGATCACGATCTCACAATCGTGAGACTGAGTCTCCCATCAGGCCCAGAGCAGAGCGTGGAGCCTGCTTAAGATTCTCTCTCTTCCCCTCTCTTCCTGTCCCTCCCTGGCTCATGTGCGCGCGCTCTCTCTTTCTCTCAAAATAAATAAAATAAACTTAAAAAAAATCAACAAAGACAAAGTTCTTTAACTGGGGATCCAGGGACCTAGGAATCTAGAAATCTAGAAATTTAGACCCTAGGAGGGTCTAGGAATCTTTTCTGAAATTGTATGCAAGTTTACGGTGTGCTGGGCTTTCTGGAGAGAACTTTATCTTTTAGAGCTTTTCAAAGTGGTCTGTGAGTCAGTAAAGCAAGCAAACAAAAGGCTAGGCCCCATTGCTAAATGGATAATTAATGCTGTCCCCACCCATGAAATGTATCTAAAAGCCCTTTCTTCATCAATCGGTTTGTCTAAGTACTTGGTCAATGAACTCACGTCAAAAGATAAGCCACCGACATGGGCCGGATGAAAGAAGTCTCTGGCCTAAAATATGATCCTCAGAATTTCCTCAGAATTATTATTACTTAATAAAAAATAACATAACACATGTGATTTGGTGACCCAAGGAAAGGATCACAGCATCATGGTACATTAATGCAAACTTGTTATATGAGGAGATTGAGAGGTTTTTAATTAAGTCTGTTTATTTGGAGAGAGTGGGAAAGGGGTAGAAAGAAAGGGAGAGAGAGATAGAGAATCCCAGGCAGGCTTTTCACTGGAAACGTGCAGAGCCTGATGCAGGGCCTAAACTCACACACCATGAGATCAAGACCTGAGCCAAGCCAGATGCTTGACCCAACGGGCCACCTAGGCACCTAGCCACCCAAGGCTTTTTTTCATTCACTTTATACGTATGTAGTGAGTACCTGCTCAGTGTCAGGTCTGATCTAAGGTCTCAGGAGACCAGTAGTAAATGAAACAATGTCTCCACCCTAAGGGGCTTGCATCTTATTGGTAGGATTTAGGTAATTTAGGAGTGAAAAAAGGAAGAACATTTTTCAGATAATCCTAAACAGTTCAGTGAAATCAGATGGAGAGTGGCTGGGTTTTGCTTTTTCTTCTAAAGTTTATTTTGAGAGAGAAAGTACGAGCAAATGCACAAGTAGGGGAGGAGCAGAGAATCTCCAGCAGGCTCCACACTTTCCGAGCAGAGCCTCATGGGAGGGCTCAATCTCATGATCAAGAAGAGAACATGATCTGAGCTGAAATCAAGAGTCGATCATTTAACCAACTGAGCTGCCCAGGTGCCTTGAGAATGAGTTTTAAAGGAAGGTGCTTGGGGTCAAATCCTAGCTCTGTAACAGCTTGGCAAGTTTCTAAACCGTGCTTAACAATTCTAAATATGGGGAATAATGGTGTTCCAGATGGATTATAATCGAGCCTTACCTATACCTGATTTAAACGATGAGATTTGGGCAAAATTTTGGACTTTCAATTGAGACTGTGATGGGGACCCTGGGATGGGGTGGCTCTAGTTTGCACATGGGATGGACAGGGCTCTCTGGGAAGAAGGGGTGATAGGGTGACCCCCTCCCCAGACATCCACATCCTGATCCCCAGAACCTATAAACACATTCTCTCACATGCCAAGAGACTTTATGGATGGAAGGGTACTGCCTGGAGATGCAGATATTTTCTGGTGGTTTGAGTGAGAGAAGAGTAGCCAAGCATGGGTCAGAGTGCCCAGATACAGAACTCGGCCCGCCATTACTGCCTTGAAGATGGACAAGGGGACCCTGAGCCAGGCACGCAGGCAGTGTCTAGAAGCTGGGGAAAAACACTCAATCAAACACTCCACATGGAACTCACAGAAAGGATATGCAAGCCTGCTGTTACCTCGCTTTTAACACTGTGAAAGTCAGACTTCTGACCCATGGAGCTGCAGGATAATAAATTTGGGTTGCTTTAAGCCACTAAGTTTATAGTGAAATATATTCAAGCAGAAGAAGAAAGCCAGTATAGGGCCTAATTCATGAAGAAACTTTCCAGAAGTTTGTTAGTACATCTGGACAAGTGGTAACAGTGCCTACTATGTAGTAAGCAAGCATGCAGTAAATTGTTAACATCCTTCTCAAAGATGAAAGGAAGCAAAGATGTAAATAATTCTACGAGACGGTGGTTTGGTGTAAACAACACAAGCAGTGACCTATATAGAACCATCTTCAAAGGACTTTTTTTTCTTTTAGAGAGAGAATGAGTGTGCATGCTCACATGAGAGTGAGTGAGGGAGAGGGACAGACAGAGAGATAGCATCTTAAGCAAGCTCCATGCTCAGTGCAGGGCCCAATATGGGTCTTCATCTCACGACCCTGGGATCATGACCTGAGCCAAAATCAAGAGTTGGACACTCAACCGACTGAGCCACCCCGGCGCACCAAAGGACTTCACGTTCTAATTAAGCTGCTGGAGATCATGAACTCCAAGATAATGACAGATATTCCTAAAATGACTGCGGGGAAGCAGGGGCAGCAAACTGAAATGCCTATGTGGTCTCTGCAGGTAACAGCAGGAGAAACAGGGAAGCTGGACATGGTCACGGACTGTAGACGCGGCCCTATCCGGCAGGCAGAGCCGCGCTCAGCTAATGGGCATCAGTGAAAACGCAGTGAAGGAACTGGAAATGTTCAAGAAGCTAGAAATCTACTTTCTTCTGTGAAAACTCCCATTTTTCAATGCTGGAAACCAATTCGCATTTGAACACCTATAGACCTACACAGATCGTAAGCAACCTGCGCACGTTGGTGAACTGCAAGGGGGGCGGGGGACCAGAGGCCCTTGGGTTGGGACTTCTGGCCAATGCGTGAACAGCTGTGAAGCACAAGGTGAGCCCTTTTGAACTTTTTTTGGCCCCCTCACATCGTTAAGGGTGAGATCACAAAAGTATCTCTTTTAAAAATGTATTTTTATTAATTTATTTTTTTGTGAGAGAGAGAGAACACATGACCTGGGCAGAAGCAGGGGGAGGGAGAGAATGAGAGAGGCGGAGAGAGAGAAAAAAAAAATGAATCCCAAGCAGATTCCACACTGTCAGCACAGAGCCCGAGGTGGGGCCCGAACTCACGTACCATGAAATCAAGACCTGAGCCAAAATAAGGAGTCAACCAACTGAGCCACCCAGGCACCCCCATAAAAGTATCTTTTGCCGTGCTTTTGATACTTCATCTAAATCTAAGAAAGTATGAATGATAGGAAATTCTTGCCAAGTTAAACAGAAAGGCAACACTAAATTGTATCCAAATCCAGTTTTATTAAAATTATTTGGTGATTTCAGTAGCAGTACAAAGTCTTTGACCATGACCGCTGCGCATGTTCAGACGTGAGTTTTTAGATGTGTGGTTTTGGTCTCGTGTGCTTTGGGAGCATGTTACTTTTATAGACCTTTTGCTCTTCCTTTTATCACCAAACGGCAAAGTGCCTTACGTTTCTCTGCCTAGAATATCTTCCTACGTAGAGGATAGGAATTTGTAAAGTAAGACTGCAAATATAAAATCCATAGATCCAAAAAATTCTCTGCAAATATTAAGAACATACAAAGGATACTAAAGGCATCTACATATACTCCTCCAAGTAGCAAGGCGAGCATTTGATGTCTGTGGTTTCTTGTTTTTATTTATTGCAAATTACCAAAGCATTTCCAAAAGCTGTAAAAACCTTCATTGACATTCCCACTATGCTTCCCCCGAATTTAGAGGATAAAACTAAGAGAGCACCTGATTGGGCCCTTACAATTATGATGCTTAGTTTTCCTTCAATGGGATTTTTCTTCTGCAGTAGCTCAGAGCACTATCTGCTTGCTCAATGCCTTACAATTAGCGTCTGCTTCGCAGAAGATCTAGGTATTGACTTTGTAAAGTGTACTGTTGGACAGCAGACGGTGGAGGCCTCCCTGTCCAAGGCAAAACTTGTAGCAGATCTTAGAGTAAACCCTTAGAGGATCTGGTGCTTCCTAGTTGTTTTCCAGGGATCCTGAAGCTGTCTGTAAGAAAGAAAGAAAGTTGTGTAAGAATCTTTTACACAAGACGTTTTGGCTTGTTCTTTTTTTATAGTTTATTTTTGAATTTTTATAAATTTTTGAGACAGAGAGAGACAGAGCATGAGCACGGAAGGGGCAGAGAGAGAAGGAAACACAGAGCCTGAAGCAGGCTCCAGGCTCTGAGCTGTCAGCACAGAGCCCAACGCTGGGCTCGAACCCACAAACTGCAAGATCATGACCTGAGCTGAAGCTGGACACCCAACCGACTGAGCCACCCGGGCACCCCCTTTTTGGCTTGTTCTTAAGGAATTCTGCTTTTCTAGCAGTGTATGTAAATTTGGCTTTGGCGGTGGAGCCCTGTAGTTTTGTTCCTGTGAGAAGACTATCTCTTGGGGATTGGAACACAGAAAACCAAGTGAGGCAAACACCTGAGTCATTTCTGCCCTCACTTCCCTCCAAGGCTATGCTTTAAGATTCATGAGGAGAGTTTCCCGTATCGGCTTTCATGCACTATTTCTAGACATTCTTGTTATTAATTCAAGATCATTCCCCTAAGTGGCCAATTTATTTCGCCAGATGTAGAAGACTGCTATACCGAATCACCGGTGGCTGCCTCATTATTTTCAGGAGGAAACACTTAGCCCTCGAGGGAAAAAATGTCAGTAGAGTCTACTCTCATTTATTTGTGGTCTAAACAGTATGACTACTATTTGGCAATCAAAATAGACCATCAGAACAGGGACTTGACTTTGTGAAGGTTAACTATGCAAATGACTTATGTTGCATAGTCAATTAGGTCTATGAACATTAAGTCCCAGCAATAATAGTTTCATCAAATAATACAGTTTTTATTCTTATTTCTCTAATAAATGAAGAGGAAACATTTTCTATTTTAAAAAAAATTTTTTTTGAGAGAGAGAGAGATAGCGCGTGTGCCTGAATGCATGAGTGGGGGAGGGACATGGGGGGAGGGAGGGGGAGAGAGAGAGGGAGAGAGAGGGAGGGAGAGAGGGAGAGAGAGGGGGGGAGAGAGAGAGAGAGAGAGAGAGAGAGAAAGAACCCCAAGCAGGCTCCCCGCTCAGCGTGGAGCTCAATGCAGGGCTTGAGCTCAAGACCTTGAGACCATGACCTGAGCCCAAATCAAGAGTTGGATGTTTGACTGACTGAGCCACGCAGGCACTCTGAGAAAACATTTTTAGTAGTGAGCTTACATTTTTAAATTTCTCAATAAATAACTCTTTGCATCTAATATACATTATTTATTTAATTAAAGAAATTTTTTTGTTTATTTATTTGAGAGAGAGAGAGAGAGAGAGAGTGGGAGCAGGGGCATGGCAGAGAGAGATGGAGACACAGAATCCAAAGCAGGCTCCAGGCTCCGAGCTGTCAGCACAGAGTCTGACACGGGGCTCAGATCATGACCTGAGCCAAAGTCAGATGCTTAACTGACTGAGCCACCTAGGTGCCCCAAATTTACATTATTTTAAATAAATGGAAAATATCCTCATATCATTTCCAAAGAAGCAAAGAATTAGGATGTAAGGGGGCCTTTCCACCAAGTTAAGGTTCATCTGATTCTTCACTTTGAGAATACTTACCGCAAGACATTCAAAAATATCTAGACCAAAACAAGCAATGCGTACGGTGTAATGTGGCCAACCGACAAAGCACTCAGGCTGAGAAGAGAGGAATGATACTTACAAATGGAGTCCGGACTCCAAATTTGCTGTGGAATGTCATGGTGACTTTGTTTTTGTGTCCTGTTCTTTGATCAAAGGCGTGGCACGTATCAAAAGGCGGGCTGTACAAGTGAAGGCTGACGGCAGGCTCTGTGTGGCTGATATTCTCTACTCGGTGTAGGCCGATGGAATCTGTACAATACCCAAGAGCGAGAAGCACATGAAGGAGCTTAAATGACAGGTGCTAGTGCAAATCTGCCATCCTCCTAAGACCCTACATCCATCTGATATGGCTGGAATGGACAGAAATCACTTCCAAGGGACCTTCCAGTTTAAGACAGTAAGTGACATGTGTCGGGAGCCACACTGGCCTCGCTGGGTGACAGTCACAGCAAGGAGATGGCAGCGTTTGCACGGCTCCTGCCATGAGAAATGAAAAACTGGTATCTCCTTCTGCTACTACTGGCTCATGTTGGAATTGAGCCGGCTGGTATGGACCAGGCCTCACAATATTCCAGATCAGACTGATATTACACACACAGATTCCACATAAGGAAAAGCATATTCCTGCCTTTTCAAGAGATTTTAGATGATAGTACTGGGGATGATTGTCAAAAGGCTCTTCCTATGGGCCTTGTAGATCCAAGACTTAGATAATAAAGGGGGTTAAGAACACAAGAGTTACAATTGAACCTGGCCCCGAGACAAAGAGCCTAATTTAGAGTTAAGGAACAGATAAGGGCAGAACTTAATACTTATACCTTTTCTAACTGGTGATATACGGCAGTCCCTTCCCTAAGGCCTACTTTCCGCAAACACTCTCCCTTACACTGGTGGCTGAGATGAGGAGAGATCAGAGTAGCTAATACATAAACCCAAAAATAAAGGCCGACACATTTAGAGCCTGCATGGTGTTTACACATTCAGCATCAAGTCAAAAAAGTTTCCACAAACGACTTATTAACCAGTTCAAAAACATTCATCCTCTTGAGAGCCCGACAGAATGACTCCCAGCCTATCTATATTCAAGTTAACCTATGTCCTAATCCTAGCATTAATAACTTAGAACAAATATGTATGTCATCCTATTTTTCCCTAAGAACATCCTGTTATTTCTGTAGTTGTATGATTTACTCTACCTCACTATGATTAGGGGATTTCTGCAAGAATACTTCTGAAAAACCTGTTTTTGTACACTTTTCAAAGCATCTTATCACAAAGAGTTTTCCATTGTAAAAATTCCTTTTTCTGATGCCATGTTGTCACTGGACCTTTAAATAAAGACACCAAAATAGAGCAGAGATGCCTGCCTGGTGATCAGAAAGAATCTTGGGGCTCTCTTACTCTCTCTCTCTTGTTGACACCGTCCATCCTTCAGGGACCCCTGGACCGGCTGGAGCGGGTCTCCAGCAGACATGTACTCTACTCTTTCCTGGAGCCCCTTTATAATTACACCAGAAGAATTTTAGAAAGACATCTACCCAAAAAGACATCCCCCAAAAAAGAAAGGGACAAGAGAAAACATCAATAAAAGTTTGAGAACTTGAAAGAAGATGAATAGCCAAAAATTAACTTGATTTCTATCTCGATATCATATCTACATATACAATAATGTAAATGAACTTCACTTATATCTCAAATTTTTTTTTTTTAAGGTTTTTATTTATTTCTAGGAGAAAGAGAGAGAGACAGCGCGAGCAGGGGAGGGTCAGAGAGAGAGGGAGTCACAGACTGAAACAGGCTCCAGGCTCTGAGCTGGCAGTCAGCACAGAGCCCGACGCGGGGCTCGAACCCACGAACCGCGAGATCATGGCCTAAGCGAAAGTCGGACGCTT